CCCACCAGTCCCCTCCCCTCCCGCCTCTCCTTCCCATAGAGGGTAGGGCCCTCCACGGGGGTTCCCCAAATTCCACAACATCATCTTGGGCTGGGCCTAGGCCCTCCCCTACGTGTCCAGACCAAGAGAGCATCCCTTCTCTTGGAACGGGCTCTCAAAGTCCCTTCTTACACCAGGGAAAAATACTGATCCACTGCCAGAGGCCCCATAGGGTACCGAGGCCTCCTCCTTGACATCCACTTTCAGGGGTCTGGATCAGTCCTGTGATGGCCTCCCAGACAGCAGACTAGGGGCCATGTGCTCCCTCTTGTTCAGGTCAGCTGTTTCTGTGGGATTCACCAGCCTGGTCCCGACCCCTTGATCTTCATTCCTCCCTCTCTGCAACTGGGTTCCAGAGTTCAATTCAGTGTATAGGTGTGGGTGTCTGCCTCTGCTTCCATCAGCCACTGGATGAGGGCTCTAGGATGGCATATAAAGTAGTCATCAGTCTCATTATAGGGAAAGGGCATTTAGGCTAGCCTCTCTGCCATTGCCTAGATTGTCAGTTGGTGTCATCCTTGTAGATCTCTGGAAATCTCCCTAGTGCCAGATCTCTCCTCGGACCTATAATGGCTCCCTCTGTTATGATATCTCTCATTCTGCTCTCCTCTATTCTTCCTCCAACTCAACCTTTCTGCTCCTCCATTTCCTATACATAAGAGATTATCTTAATTATAGAATTAGAAGGGGCCTCAGGTGAGAAGCATAAACAGTACATTGAAGGACTCTTCCTCAATCAAGAATACCAAAGACAGACCCAGGTCTCCTGATTTCTTTCATGTGTCTATTCCATCTCAGCAGTTTTTACTCCTGTTTGTATACATTAAATACTATTCCAACTTACACATGCTTTTCAAAAAAATACTTTGCAGGTTTCATTTCTGTTTGCTTTAAAATTTATCATCAAACTTAATCATTAAAAGCTATAGAAATTGAAAGATGGCAGGTATCTACATAAGGCAAGAGAAAAGGTGTACCTTGCTGTAACTTTTCCATGCTTCCTGGGCCTTCACTCTTGGTCATGTTACATGGTTACAGGTGACTGCATAGACAGAACACTATCAGAGACAAGGATGACAAGAACCTATGTGTGTCTGAGTTGCAGCCTACCTAGCTTCCCAATGTTCCAGAAAATGGCTCCTGGATAATTTTTATTAAGTAGTTCTGAAATTAAGTTTTTTCTTAACTTGGTGCTCTTCTTTTGTTTGTTTTATTATTTTATGTGTATGAGTGTTTGACTGTGTGTATGTATGTCTGTACACCATGTTTGTGCTTAGTGCCCAAAGAGGCCAGAAAAGGGCATTGGATCACCTGGAATTGGAGTTATGGATGATTGTAAGCTGTTGTGTGTGTGCTGGGAATTGAATGCAAGTACTGGAAGAGCAACCAGGACTCTCAACCACTGAGCCATCTCTCCAGCCCATAACTCAGTGTTCTTAAACAACAATTCCTGCTTTTCTCATATACCAAGAAGTACTTTCCTTTTGGGACATCCATTAACTTTGGCTTCATCCTAATTTATAGAGCTGTTTCTTGTATTAAATTTGGTCCGAGGACCACAAAATAGATCTAAGTTCTTCATCTTACTGTATACATACACAGAGATGATCTTAATTATAGAATTAGAAGGGGCCTCAGGTGAAAAACATAAACAGTACATTGAAGGACTCTTCCTCAGTCAAGAATACCAAAGACAGACCCAGTACTGGAAAAAGCACAGTCAAATTCACAAGTCAAATCATTCGCCATATGCATGTAGAGCTGTTAGTCTTTAAGATTTAAAAGGGAGAAAACTATTTCTCTTGATCTTTTAATATATGCACTATGTTGAACAAGTTCATGCTTTTAATCTATTTTTTTCTTATTGCCAGTAAGTTGGGTGTGCATATATGTTTACATGTAACCTATATGTTTTGGCTCAGACACATATTATTTATAGCTATCTAGCATGCATGTTATGACTACATCTATATAAAATTCTGTATAACAAAGCTTAGACACATGGGTGAAAACTCTAGTCAGTCAACTATCAATAATGTTTATTTCAGCTATCTCATTTCTCAGAAAGTCTGTTGCCTAGCATGAAAGTCTTGGCAGATCCTCTATATAAAGCTAGCCAAGGCTCAGTTTTACAGTGTTCAAGCAGTCAAACCGCTAGCAGCTAGTTCCTACAGCCCGATAACATTTTAAAACTTTTTTATAACATGTAAAAATATCTTTTATAAGTCTGAAAACATGGACCATGTCCTAAGCTTTAGCCCTCTTTTTCTGTATGCTGGCAAACCAGTACTTACAAAACCAGAGAGTTAAGATTCCTTTGGCTTAGTTATAAACAGGATTTCCTAAAACCTGGTAGATTTTATATAGATCTGTTAATACTGAACATGTAGTTACTTCAGGTTCTGTTTGTCCTTTCATATGTATTCTCAACAATAATTAGAAATCAAATACTTTAATTTGGGAAATATTTATTGAATTCATGGAAAAGCACACTGCTAGGAAATGAGAATACAGCAATGAATGAAACAAACTCTAGAGTCCTTAATTTAGCCACGATTCAGAGCAGTACGCAACTAAATGGCAAGTGAGTGCAGTTGGAGTCTTAGATGACTTCTTGAAGAAGCCTAGAAGACAGAGGACTCCATCTGGTCCTCAGAGGCAGAAACATGTATGCTATTGTTTGAATAGAGCAAGAAAGAAAACAAGCACTTCTAGTTCCCTGGGATTGATCCTGTAGATTACTAGCCAGGTATGTTTTTAAGACTGTATTTATAGTCTCATTTTTTCATTGTCTGATAAAGGTCACACTCACATTGAAGCAAAGATGTTGAGACAGAAAAGGGAGAACTTGAAGTGGGCCAAAGGAAAGCCACAGATGTCATGGAAGAAATAAGTTTATTCTGTCTTAGCACAATGTATAGCTTTTCTCCTTTAAACACAACAGCAACAGCAACAAAACACGTTTATATTTTCTGTTGCTGATTGAATTGAAATAGTCGTATGTTCTACAGAGACTGTCATGAACTTTTTATTCTTGCCTTGTTTATTTTTGTGACTATTGAGTAACATAGACCTTATCCTATATTTATCTTCCATTTTCATTTGATTAGACAGTTTCATTTCTGGACTTTATAGCTTTCACACCACATAAGAAGAGAGAAAAGTTAGAAACCCATTTAGACATTCCATTATCCACTTTCTACCCAGTTAACACTGAATTTGAACACATGGTATTCCTGAACTTGGCCTTGTACTTCACTACAAACAAATGTTTAAGGAGAAAAATAGACAAAATTGGAACAATGTTATTTCTGTCTTTGCAAACATTCCTGGGGAAAGAATGCTATATACTACATATACTACATAACATCCTGACCACCTTTCACTCTTCCAGAGCTTTATGTGTGATGAGATACTTTGATGAAAGGAATACTTTACTGAGGAATTTTTAACAGGTTCTAACTTTAGAACAAAGAAACCAGGACCAGAACTATAAATATACATATGAAATATAACACAGCTATCAATTGAGCATTTTCACGAGTAACTGTAGTGAACTCATCTCTTTTATCATAAGAGAATGTACTATAGAGTTGATTTTTGTTACTTGTTAACTTTTGTGTTATCTCTTGATAGGCGTGTTCAAAGAGCTGTGGTTATAGACTCTCCGGACTCATTTGTAGTAGGCATCGCATATGGAATACACGGTGTGAACAGATGGGAAGAGACAACAGCTGATCCTCATTTAAGAAAAGAAGCTCCGAGTTATGCTGTGGGTGCAGCTCCCTTCTGTGCCCTCTTGACACTTGCTTCTTTTTCTGGAGTTGCTTCGAACTTCCAGTAAGAAACAGACTGTTCTGATACAATATCATAGCTGCTGCATCCATTTCCAGCCTAGTACTTCAAGATCCCACAGCATGGACAGCAGACCGAACAGGTTCTCTCAGGGAGGGAGTGTAAAGCATATGATGTTAGCCCAAATGACAACAAATATGGATGCTTGTCACAACTGTTTAATTATTTAGATTCTTTCTTTACATAAGGATAACAGAACAGTATCATCACTTGAAGATGTGAGTTTGATGTAGTAACAGTCCTACCATTTCCTACCCAGGCCCTCATCTTACCATCTAAATGGTAAGATGCCTCTAAATTGTCCTCTAAATGGCCCAGGTGCTTCTTATTTCTCTTCAGTCACTGGGGTACATTCCTCAGATGTTCTTTTTTTTTGGTATTTCGAGACAGGGTTTCTCTGTGTAGCTTTGGAGCCTATCCTGGCACTCGCTCTAGAGACCAGGCTGGCCTCAAACTCACAGAGATCCGCCTGCCTCTGCCTTCTGAGTGCTGTGATTAAAGGCATGCGCCACCAAGCTGGGCCCTCAGATGTTCTTAATGATTCCTTTACTCTATGACTTGACCACACCCTGCTTAAAGTTTTTTTTTTTTTCATTCAGTACAGTGGGGAAAAGGAGTGTTTAATTCAAGACCATGCTCAGTTACCTGTTCAGCTTTACATTATCCCTTTTGTATTCCATGTTTTTCTGGGATTTGGAACCAGAGGAGTTTAATTCCCCTGACTCTTCTAGTTAGTGATGCTCATCAGTATTGTATGTACATGGCTGGATAGTCTTATGAGCTGAATGTTCTTAGAAACCTCATTTACCTTTATATCATCACATCTTGCAGACAGACTGGTGGGCATAATGGATAAACAAATAAGTCTAACTGAATAATAGAAACTTTTAAAAATCTCAACAACTAGCCTTATGGGTTTTACTGGTACCAAATGATCACCCTTTTATTTGTAGTCACACTTGCCTAATTACTTATTGCTAAAGATAGGCAACAAGAAAATCACCACCCCCCCCACACACAAAGAGAACCAATGCCACAGATCTTTATGTAATTCCTTTGAATGAATTGAATAAATATAATCAAATTTTGATAGATGAACACACCAATCATTTTCATATAAATGTTTTATTGCAGAGAAGTTATAGTTATTTACATGCTGCAACACATCACAACATAAATTTACCAAATATTTCATGGTGGGATGCTGTAGATTCAGATAATAGTTTTAGAAGAACCACAGGTTAAGTGAAGAGACTTACAGCTTTGTTGACTCTACAACTCTCGGTTGCTAAATGCTAGAAGTCAAAGGCAGTGTGTTGTCAGTCCTACCTATCACCACTTGCATGCAGAAACCTAGGAAGCAAATACAAGACAACTGTCGGGTTTCAATCCGTATTGCCACCGAAGCTTACAAGGGGTGGGGTAATAATTTATGTTGTAAAGCATTTAATTCTTGCATAAAATATACGCTTCTATTAAGACTGATATAAATCTACTTATTTATAAACCCTGGCTTAAAACAATGACAGGATGCAGCCTGCACATGCATTGAAAAGGACAACCTAGCAAATGTTTGTGAGACCTTTACATTATATGCACTTTCAATTGTTCTCAGCCTGGGAAAAGGAGCTTCCCGAACAACAGAGTTCAATTTCTTTTGGTGATAGGTAATGACAATGAAATGCTAGGAAAGACCATAAGTATTTGCACTGATTTGTGATAGTGGAGAATAATCTATGGGGGGGGGCACAGACTGCCACTAAAGTATAATTTGGCAAATCTTCTGTAAGCCACATGTCAAGCAGGATCATCCTGAAGTGTAATAAAAGCCAGTGACAGGTGACTACTGAATTCTCAGAAGCGAATCAAGTGCTAACAGATCTCAGACACAAGTGAAACAAGTATGTGAGTCTAGAAACTCTAAACCAAGTTCACAAATACTCCTCAAGGTAGTATTCTAAAATCATCTAGCAGATAGGTTTTGATCCAAAGGAGGGGATGATAAAAATGAATGAAGGCAGTGGTTAAAAATAAAATTTCTATAGCTCTCCAAACCTACCCCACCAACCTGAGTAATGCATGAAGCAAGCAAATGGGTGAGGGCAATTTATACATGGCTCTGCCAACTCTTCAAGTGCTTGCTTACTCCTGAATAAAAAAATAAATAAACGCTGAGAAAAGTTTGGTGATAGATACAAAGAATTCTGTTTCTATCTTCCTCTGAGAGTAATTACAGCCTTGTATCTACCCTCTGATTCCTTATCCCCACCTTCCATCCTGCTAGAAAATTCTCCTTGTTGCTCACCAAATGAAAGAATGGTTCCTTTGGCTGGAAATGTCTTGGCCAAATAAGCAGTTGTTCAGTGTTTGTGATGGAAGAAAGGCAAGCCTAGCCTGTAGTTCTAAGTAATTCATCTTTATATAAAATGTGGCAGAACTTTGGAATCTCATTTCAAGATAACATCCTTAGAGCTAAGTCAGCAACTCAGGATGTTCACTCTAGGAGATCAGTATGGAATGCAGCAAGTTCTATAAGATATGCTTCAAGGATTTGGAACAAATTTTATGCTGTGCATTTTGAGCTAGGCAGCTTGCAATAATAGTTTACAGGACTTCTAAATTCTGGTGCTGGGGAGAATGAAGAGCCCATAAGATTATGGGCTTTGAGTGAATCAGGTTATAAAATTTCTTTGGGATTTGAGCCCAGCAAGTTCTACACCTAGGTGAAGCAATGAATAAAAGTTTATGAGAATAAATAATTTAAGGTAATTTAAAATATTATATTTTCAGTATGCATAATAAAAATATATCCATACAATGATCTTGATGCTATCATTAATTTTTCTCTTTATAAAAATAATCCCTTGAAAGTGCTATTAGGAGCTACCTTTCTGTATTTGTTTCGAAAGGCAATTTCCTGGGCCTGCAATATGCTATCATTCATAGTTTCCTTCTTCCGTTGCTAATAACACAGCACAGTTTCTTCACTCGGCTTCTTCCTTAGGAAATGCTAATATGAAATACTGAAAGAGTTCAAAAGGACAATGCATTGGGATGGTCTAGCTCGGACTTGGAACAAACAATGGATAAGTTGTCCTTAACCTACTGAGACATATGACTAAGCAGGACCATTTGATCTCCAAGATTAATAAAGCTTCAGAGTCCCTACAAGAAGTGCAGAACAAGTAACTCAACTTATATGAAAAAAATTCAGACATTACAACAAACCATGATGGGAAATAATAGAGTCAAATCCAACTTTACACTATATAAACCACGATCCAAACTAAAAGTTTGCATCATAACAATTATGGCTTCCTAAGCCAGAGAAAGCTTACTGTACTCCGTAATCAACTACAGTTGATAGATAGCAGGTATTTGATAGTTTGCAATGACAATTGAGTAGCTGTGGATTGCATAAATGTGTTGTGTCACATAATATCAAAGTTATTTGCAAAAATTATACAATCTGGAATGCTTGAATATGAGACACAACAATGTACTGAAACATACATTTTAGGAAAATGAGAGCAATCATTTATATAAAAGGTATTGGGGTGCATTAAGTTAGCAGTGCTACCAAGGTTAAATAGGTAAAGTAGGTCTTTTCAATCAGCTACGTAGAATTACAGTCACATATATCTAAGTTTCCCCCATCTTAGAATCCATGTCTTCATCTTCTGTGCCTCCTGGTTAATTTTACTTAGGACCATTCACTCCCATGGGTAAAGACTGACGGGGCAATGTCCCTTAAACAAATTAAAATGCCAACTTTCCCCAGTGTTGCTCTGGGAATGGCTTTTCACGGCTGAGCCAGACTTCTTCCTTATGACGTACAGCTGCTTCCAGCCTTCTCCAGCCTTCACCTCACCACACCATGTGCCAAATTTCCCCAGGCTGACAAAAAATTTCTTGGTAATTTGTGATTTTCAGATCTATTTTCTAATACACCGGTGATTACCCTTTTTCTTCCCAGGGTGCGACACTTCGAAAGTGTCCCAGACCTCCTATTTCTGAGGCCCTGCTATCTTATTTGCACTTAGAGCAGAGGAGGCAGGTAAAGCTACACTTCTTTCAGCATTTGGTTGATCTAGGGTCTCAAACTCCCAAGGACATACTTCCGCTCGTGATGTTAATGGTTGGTGGGAGTTATTACTTGAGTTACAGGAGCCAGGAATGATACCCCCTGAGGATGTCTGTTTCTCCTGGTCTCCCATTAGGTTGAGATTTTCATTCTCTACTTTTGATGCCACGGCTTTGGGGGGCAGTTCTTCATGCTGCCCAGCACACGTGTTGGTTGTGTAGAGCTGACTTCCGTTCTCCTCTCTGGCTTTCCCTGGGAGAACGGGAGTCTTAGAAAGCAGTGGATTCTCATCTTCCAAAAGGGACTGGCCTTGGCTCTCCCAGGGGCACACCTCTGTCTTATCTACACTCTTGTGGTTGAGTTGCTGAAGATCTTCAGCTGCCTTAGGCTTGTGGTGGGACTTCTCCTTCGAGGATGAAGCTGGGTTTTGCTCTACTTCAGAAGCTGCAATTGATACGTGTTTCTGAGCTTTTGGTTCCGAAGGCACAGGACCAGGGGTCAGGTCATAAACCTCCCAAGGGCACACTTCCCCAATGTCAAAATTGTCCTTTATCTGGGTGGTGCTGGGGTTCAGGTCAGAATTGGCAGTGGGGAGGTTGCTCCTCTGCTGTTTCATAATCCCGGATTTCTGAGGCTTTCTTAGCTCCTCCAAGAGATTGGAGTTTGGGAGGCCGGAATGTTTCCTGTCTGTGTTATCAGGATTTGAGAACTTCCTGTTTGACTCTTTATCTTTTGGCAGAGGTTTCTGGGACTTAGATCGGTCTTCCATACACGAAGTCTGGGTTTTCCCAGCTAGCCCAAGTGTCTTCTCCTTGGCACTTGCAATGACACTGAGTGACTTCTGTAACATGGACGTGCGTGGGTGCCCAGGCTTCTTCTCTGAGCTGAGGTTGTGAGCACTGGCTGACTTGCACACCAAAGGCACCGACTCTGTGGACTCCGCCTCGCTGTCTTCTTTGAGCTTCTGTGTCAGTTTTTTACTTGACAGTGAGTCCAAGGTCGAATTTTCTGTGGCTTCCTCCTCCTGGCTCTCTGTGGGTAGGCTGCTAGACTCTTCTGTTTGGTCTCTCACATGATCATAAGTGCTGTGGGACTTCTTGAGAGAGAAGACTCGGTTTTTCAGGGACTCCTCCTTGGGTCTCCCGGTATTTCCTGAGGAGTCAGCGGGGTTCTTCCGGACAAGGCCTGTCCCTTTGGCTGCATTGTGATCTGTGCCCTCCTTGTCCTCCTTGGAGCACTGCCTGCTGACAGTCTCTGGGATCTCTGTGATACGTCTCATGATGGACCGGCCTAAGCCCTTCTTGGAGCACCGCTTTTTCTGTAGGTGGGGGTTGTTTGTGATCATCTTCTTGCGCTTGTATATTTCTAACTGGGCATAGAGTTTTTTCAGCTCATCCTGCCAGGACAAGAGGGCATTCAAAGAGGCAAAGATTTAGTGTTGTAGACAGAAAATACCTGACTGGAGCTTATCAAAACAAGATTGAGCTTTCTCAGACCACTGTAATGACTGCTTTCACCAACTTCCCCCTGTTCTTAACTTTCTATTAATTTTGTGTGTTTTTTTATTTCTTAATCAAACTTTGAACTTTAAGACACAAATTCATAGGTTTTACCTCTGCTTCATTGCATTTTCAACTTGTGTGGCCAAGACTGAGTCTGGACTATAACAAAACCCAGTACCCTAAGAGCTGATGAACAGTAACCCTGTGCATGCTGGGAGCAATGTAGCCATTGATACAGTCCTGACTGATACTAGATGGACCTGGCTGGCAACAGCAGTCCAAAGCATCTTCTTCTTTCAGAGGCTGATCCATTTTCATGCATTATATTAAACAAGGCAGCCTCTCTGCTCACAGGTGTTTCTTCCCTTGCTAAAAGCATGGTATGTCAACATGCCAGTCAAGAGTAGGAAGTGTGACCAAGGTGAGTGTGAGAACTGAGACAGTTTTGTGCAGAACAATTATAACATGATTCTGCATTGTAGTCTTACTTCATGGATGCCTTCCATCTCACACATACATTCTCTTTTTCTTTAAAACAGACAGAAACACACACAGGTGCACATAGTATGCCTCAATCCACACATGCTTGCTGGTATCGCTGGCATAAAGTGAACTAAGCTGACATAGACAAAAGGCCCCTCCTGTCCTTACCCGAATGTCTTCTGGGTCTAGGCTGTGCTCACTCCAGGCTGAATTGATACTGCTGTTCAGGTAGGATCCAGAACGACCCATGTCCAACTCATCCTCATATGCTTCTGTAGCGATGTCATCACGGGGATTATTGCTTGAATGTGAAAACTGCAAAAGATATTCAGCATGAGCTATAGCCCTCAACCCATTGTTAAGATAGTACAACATCTTCTATGGTTCTGATGCTAACTTAATTTTCTTCATCTAGATAGACTTGTCCACTCAACACTTACCAATGATTTGTGACTGTGTTTGTGATTGGCTTTCTCTGGAATTTGCTAGGGCTGTTTGTGAGGCATCATCAACTCCATTCACTCTCTGACCCCAACTTTACCCTTATTTCTTTATTAGCATCCCAGTGTTAATTTTTACTAATTTCCCATAATGTATTTGCTTTTTGAAAAAGAAAGTAAGTAGAAGAATCATAAGAAAATCTCCCTAAGAGAAGCAATTTGTTGTATTTGTATATGGATGAAAACCATCTTGATATAATATCATATAATACAATAATTTCTGCTTCAGTGAGAATCTATTCATCTATATAGCTAATTAGCCCCAGAGACAGGGATGTGACTTTCCAGCTACTTCATGTGGCTTTAGATGAAACCCAGTGGACAGGATATGTGATCCAGTCACACCTTGTCATCGGTGAGCTCTTGAGTACGACATGGGACTCCTACAGGGCACAGTACCATCTTGCTTAACTGCATCTCACCCAGATGACATTTAAATTAAAATGGAAAATTTAACCAATACTTGAGATTCTTCCTCAAGCACATAATTTTTAACCAAGCTCTCCCTTTATCACATTTTGATTAGTTTCATTGTGTTATTGTTTGGTTTTGTGTGCTTGTCTGCATTTTCCTTAGGGATTGAAGTCAGGAAGAGTGAGTTTGATGAGTGATAGAAGGCAAGAAAGAGAAACAGTACAATCTAGCCACACCTTAAATAATATCTAGACAGTGTTTTATGAAAATTGAAATAACAGTTTATGAAGAAAACATGGGTTCTCTTGATCCAGATTATTAATAGTTCAAAATTTCTTTAAAAATTAGTAGATCACATAGTGAAAACTCCACCAGACTTGGTCAACTGTTCCCAACAGTGAAAACACGGATGCAAAGGAAAGCAAAATGGAACTTAGGTTTTCGCACAATGAAGTGTGTGTTCAGTATTACTTGGGACTTTAATCTTGTGTAATGTTCAGAGTGGATTTATACTTAAAATTTAAGAAATCATTTCTTTTATGGCAGGAAGGTTTTCACACATAGTTTTCATTAAACAACTAGCCTAGTCAGCTGTGCTGGTTAGTTTTTAATGTGAACTTGCCACAACTTAAAATCACTCGGAAAAGATTCTCAGTTGACTAATTGTCTTTATCAGGTTGGTTCATGGGCATTTCTGTGTAAGACTGTCTTGGTTATTAGTTTATGTAGGAAGGCCTCTACTACTGTGGGTGTCACCATTCCCTAGGCGTAGAAGACTAGACAATGCTAGATGAATTGAGCAGTATCAATACATCCATTTTTTTCTCTGCTCTTGTCTATGGATGTGATGTAACTACTCACTTAAGTTCTTGTCTCAACTTCCCCTTGTTTGCAATGGGCTGTGGCTTGGAATCATAAGCCAATGAACACCTTCTTTCCTCAGGATGTTTTATCACACCAATAGGAATGAAACTAGAACACCAATTACCCATGTGTACACAATAACATGGGAAGCAGCAATCTCCCATTTAAGAACAACTTGTGTTTTGTAATTAGAACTTATTGAAAAATTATGGTGACTAAATATTGCTTTCCCCCTTATCTGTGAGACCCACAAGCATCATGGACTTAAAGATATGAGTGGTAAATATGGTAGCATAGAGACCCAAGTCTCACAAGGTACTGGTTATACCACTTACATGAACAGAATTGTTCTCAACCAAAATCTCTGACACAAGTATAAGTTTAAGAGTCAGGAGGTGGGGCTGTGGCTAAGTGGTAGGATCTGTGCTTAGTATGCTCAAGGCAATGGATTTGATCCCCAGCACCACAAAAATCAAACCCAAACAAGCATTTGTCAGATACTATACATTTTCTGCTTTGGCTTTTTTCCTTAGGGTTTATCTAAAACGCCAGTTTTAATATTTATTTTACTTATCTTGTTTCCCCTAGCCCCACTCCTAAGTACAGGTGCCAGAAGACAGTTTCTCATCTCTGTACTACACTTATCCTAAGTGCCTAGCAAAATCCCACAATAACACTTAGCTATCTTTTGTGATAGTATTAGTATGTCACAAGGTTGTGCAGCTATTGCCACCCTTGAATCCCAGAATATTTTCACCATCTCAAAAGAACTCTGGAACCATTAACACAATATTTTTACTATCCCCTTTCTGCATGATACAAACCACTAGTCTACTTTTCAGATTTAACAGTTCTGGACATTCCTTACAGATGGATTCATGTAACATGTTTTGGCTTTCTGTACTTGGCCTTTTCACCTGGCATTATGTTTTCATAATTTGCCCAGGCTGTAGGAGATATATCTTGTGTGTGTGTGTGTGTGTGTGTGTGTGTGTGTGTGTGTGTGTGTGTGTACATGTGTATATGCATATTTGCAGGTTAATTTGGGGGAATGTATCTGTGTGTGCATGGGTATGTGCATGTGTTTGCATGTATGCATGTGTGTGTATTGATGGGGAATGTACTATGTACGAAAGAGAGTGTATCTTTCTGTCTGTGTGTGTTCATGCATGTACACATGCACCCATGTGTGTGCATGTGGAGGCCAGAGGCATGCTGCTCACCTTATTTTTTGAGACAGGGTTTCTCACTTGCATAGAATTTTCTTAGCTGGCTAGTCTATCCAGCTAACAGTCTACAAGCCCCAGAAACCTACCTGTGTCTGACTCCTCAGCACTAGGATTACAGCTATGTATTATTCCATCTGGCTTTACACACACACACACACACACACACACACACACACACACACACACTCAGATTCTGTGGGTTTAACTTAAGTTCTCATGGTTACATGGCAAATACATTATTGACTGATGATTTCCCCAGCCTGCATTGAAATTTTTATTGACAAATAATCTTTCATTATAAAGGTGTACCATGTTTTACTTATACAGTTATCAGCTGTTAAACATCTAGATTGTTATGAATAATGGTGCTGTGAACATTCATGAACAAGATTTTTGCATGATCATAGATCTAAATTCTCTTGGTAGTTAAGTAATAATTTATAGAAGGAATAGTCTGAGTATCCATTAATCTAATAAAACTGTAATTTGTATTATGAAGGTTTAAAAGACCTTGGATTAACTACAGTAACAAAGTGACCTCTGAAAATAGTGTGATCAGTTAGCATAACTCAGGAGCCAGTAAAACTGATACTTTATTGTTTATAATTGCTTGGTCTTCTCAATCAGGTTTAACCTAAAGGTTAAATGTGAGAAGTAAGATGAAGTCAGGAGTAAAAGACAAGAAACCACAACTCTGGGTTTGGGGGCTGTAATACCATGTTTCTCTGTACAACAGAAGAGTCGTGATAATAATTATCATTATATAAATAAATATCATTATATCAAGTTAATAATGCTGTAACTTGTATAACTGACCTTTAGCCCAAACTCTAATGTCATCTTCTTTTATTCTGAGAACTTTTACTTCTGAGGAAACTGAAACTACTCAGAATCTTGGTAGTACAAAGCTAGTTGTGGTGAAGAAGTCTGCTGCTGAGTCCTGGGATGCTTTATCCACCTCCCTTTTTAAGCCTGGGTAGATCTTAACCAGCATACACCACAATAGGGGTTCCTCTATATATAATATCATACTCACTATTTTTTTTAATTTGTAGAACAAAGAGTTTATTTAGACTTAAGTTTCTAGAGGGATAAAAGTTCACTATGAAGGGGAAGTAGTTGGTATGGAGGCTAGAGCACCAAGCTGAGAGCTCACATCTTGAACCCACAAGTGAGAAGTAGAAAAAAAGAGTAATGGGCCTTATAGAATGAGGCCTTATGCTCTCAAAGCCTTTTCCCGATGACACAGCCTCACAGCTGAATTCCTGCTCTCTGGCTCTTACAATCTTTCTGTCACATCTTACATAATGTTCCCTGTTCCTTAAGTATAGGAATTGTGTTATAGATGTGCTAGTTGACATTGGTTATTGTATTTTGACTAATTGTAGATTTCTGTAATAGTCCCTTTCTGGCTCAGAATGAAGCTTCTTTGGCTAAGGCTTACATTTATATTTATCTATGGGTATCATTATTTAGAATACATTTAATAATTGTACTTGTCTAGGAAAGTGAATAGTAGGTTCTCCTCTAAGATCTATGATCTCACTGAGATCCATGATCCACTAGTACCTGGCTCTGTTTACAGTAGCAGGTATGATTTCCATCCTGTTGAGTGGGCCTTAGACCAATTTGAGAACAGTTGGTTACTGCCAAGATAAAAGTACTACTAGGATACCTTTTCAGATGTCTGCCATTCTAGTCATTGTTTTGATCTATAGGCATTGGAGCCAGGTAGGACTTGATAATGGCTTTCTTCCCTTAGAAGCTTGCATATCACTTCTGGTACTATGAAACTAGTCTTAGAGGAGGAGGCTTTTGTATCAGTCTCATTTCAAATCCTGTGAGTACTATGTCCAAAGTGTCTGGGGTCTTCATCAATAGGGACTTACCTTCAAATTCTGGAAAGCAACCATGGCAATAGCAATTGCCTACATTTTGCATACCCACTAATTTTATTTACACAAAAATTCTCTGAATTTTTGCTACAAGGCTCCTCAGAAGGCAAATATAGAGAAGAGGTTCTTAGCATGACAACTCTTTAAAAATTCTTGCTGGGCAGGAGAGATTACCCAACCATTAAGCCTAACCTTAACCCCAACCCCATCCCTAACCCTAACCTCTAAACCCAAACCATAACCCCAACCCTAACCCTAACCCTAACCCAGGCTAGGCTCACAACCAAAAATAATAAAAAATATTGCTGATATTCCCAGCTTCAGCAAGATTGATTTGAATAAGTCATAATGATTAAGAGTGAAGTAGAAATAGAAAATATTTGAAAAGGGACTAAAAGAGATAGTGGGTTCTGGTATAAATAAAGATTTTTTTTTTATTTAAGATGTTTAAGAAATTCCCAAAGAAACAGACCTTCACTTTCCTCAAGAGGAATGTCAAAGACAATTCTTGGTACATCAAGAAAATCCCCACACTCCCTTTGTCCATAGTGACAGGTACTTTTAAGAGAAGTAAGAACTCCACACACCTTCAGACAATTTGTCTTGCCTGGCAAAAACAAATGCAATGCTAGAAGAATACCTTTGGGATCAAAAGTAGCCCGATGGTGACTGTCACAGTCAAGTGAGTGTGTGCAAAATAGAGCATCAGCATCCAGTCAGACTGAAGTTTTGAGGCCATCACAAATCTGAAAAGAGAGTTCTCCATGTTAGCAGTCAAGGTAAAGATTTCTGCTTCAAAGCTAGCATGTTTGTAAACATTTCCTCTCGATGTACTAAAAAAATAAAAAGGCTGCTTCTTAGCGAATATTTTCATCACCGAAAATTAAAGGTATGTATGACTTTTAGGTTGGCAGGACTATAAATTTATTATTTAAGGTTGTACCTACATATAGACCATGATAATACTTCTATGTTGACATATATATATATATATATATATATATATATATTCATTCTAAAAAGGCAAGGTTGCACATGAGTTCAAAATGGAAGCTATAGACCATAGTTTGGGCAAATTTAGTTGCATATCATACCTGAATACATTCTTATAATGTTCTTTATTTTATAAACATCAATTAAAATGAAGGTGGGAAGGAGTAGTTAATTATTTACTTATTTGTCTCAAAAAACATAAAAAGTGAACAATGCAGTGGTAGATAAGTGAATATGTTAATAATTTTTGAGATGCCCCCATGTTTATTTCGTGGTGCTGGGGATCAAACTCCTCCATTCTGTATAAACTCTTTTCACCACGGAGCAGCATGCCCAGCAAGAGGAACCTTCTAAAATAAAGCTTTGGTGTGTTCAAAAATTGTCAAATTGTCTTATATAATTTACAATATGATATTTGAAATAATCTCCAACTGAGGTTTTCATAAAGCTCTTCTTCAAGCTGGCGAGGAGGATTTAATACTAAAGTCTGCTCCAGAATTCCTGTAATCCACAGGTGCATGCCCAAACAGAGCTCTGTTTCAAAGGACTCATCCCCATACCCAAACCAGGGGCTGATCTTATAAAGGTTTTATTGTAATTATAATCTCCTTTCCACTTTCCCCATACATTGTATATTCCCCAATGCTCCATATGCTTTTCTACTGAGTTAGAAATGGAAGAATTAGAATTTTATTCCAACGTCATATAACACAAAATTTAAAATGTAGAATACTGATAAATTTCATATTATTAAGATTCATTTTATTGTTAATTATGTGTATGTGTGAGTCTGTTTGTGAGTATGGGCATCTGTGGGTAGGAATGTGTGGAGGCCAGAAGAGTGCATGGGATTCCCCTAGAGCTGGAATTACAGGGGCAATTGTGAATTACTCAGTGTGGGTTCTGGGAACAGAGCCGTGCTCCTCAGGAAAACAGTGCTCTTAGCTATTGAGGCATTTCTTCCCAAGGGTTCACATTAAAATTACATACCAAATGCACTAATGACTAGACATAACTAAAACAATTTTAAAATCTACAAGGTACCACATTCATTACAATTTTGCTAAGTAAATTAACATCACTAATATTTATAGCAAGGGTGTCACCAAGGGTATTGCTTCCTCATTTCTTATCTTCTTCCTTTTATGACACTGAGCTGAAATTGAAGTTCATGATCATCCAAAATGGAAGGAGATGCTTTTGGAGATATGAAAAAACAGACTCACAGCATATGTGGACATTCAGAACATGGATGACAGCTCACATGTCCTTGGCTGCTCTAGACTGCCAGGTTCTCTAATTCCTTTGTCAGAAAAAGTGACCTTCCCTAGATTTGAATGTATTTAACATGTACTTTATTCAAAGACAATAAACTTTTTGACACCATCTGTTTCTTCGAGTCATGTGAAAATTTCTTAAACCATTGTAATGGGACTGCCTTACTAAGCAACAGATGACAGTCTCTGAGGCATGTATGATACATGCATTTACATGCACACATGTGTATATGTATGAATGATGTGCCCTAAAGAAATGATACAAACCCAGTCATTTAGTAGCCATTGCAAAACCTGTCACGGAGAGGCACATGAGTGGAAATGGTTTTGTGCCTGTAAGTATCTTTTTGTAGGAAAAAGTCTATCTCATATGGCAACACAAGTTGTTCTACATAGCAAGTTTCCTTCTGCATCTTGAAGAGTGTAGTTTATTTATCTTAGTAAGTTTTCACTTTAAGTGAAAATTGTGACCTTCCAAAAATTACTTTGAAATAATGCTGACATTAATTACTTCCAAGTTAATGAGCCCTAAATTACTGCCAGGTTGTAGCTGTGGCTGGAAATATCTTGAGAAAAGCAGTTTTGCAGTTGTTTTAAAGCTTCAATTTTAAAACGGTATTTCAGCAAAAATAGATCTAAAATCCAGGAGCATAGCAATATTTGAGAATGTGTGTTTAAAACTAAAGCAAACAAAAAATCTTGTGGATTCCTAAAGGGTTTCTTTGTGCTAGCTCTAAAAGTCAGCGAGGGATTAGAACAGGCTGGGAGAAAGGCCTTTGCACACTTATTGCTACAGATTTAGTCTTTTGATATTGGTTTATTTTTGTGCAATCTCCCAGTTTTGTAAGAATGAAAGTAAATATATGTCTGGTAAATTTACAGGCACATGTAATATATATATATATATATATATATATATATATATATATATATATATACATAAAATTTTGAGAACTTTAATTAAAAGTATTTTACTCAAGAAAAAAAGGACTAAGTGTATTTTGTTTTTTTAACATTATTGCTATTGCTTCTTTTCCTGGTGTTTTATAAACATTAGAATTAGTGATTTAAAATATTATTTCTATTACTTTCTTCCACCCATGCTCTAAATAAGTGGTCTATTGACCTATTCTGTGAAACTACAATTTCATTCATTGGTCCTTTCTGGCAATACAGATTCCAAAACTTCAAATGTATCACACACACACACACACACACACACACACACACACACACACACACACACACACACACACAAATACCCAAAGTAATATACTGCTGTTATCAGTGCTTATCTTTGGGGAGTATGAATGAGGGTTTACTTCTTTCTTAACTGTTTCATAATTTTTCTGTAGTGACTATACATTGCCTTATTACTGAAATATCTTTGAAATTTTATCTAAGAAACAATTTAGTTGTATGTTAATGAGAGGACCTGGGCTAGTTTAGATTTACAAATCCATTAAAAAATCATATTTGGTATGGGACCAGAGAGAGAACATCTAAAGCAGATAGGTATGTTCATGCAACTTCTTTGAACTTCTTTAATTTGAGCAATTTGTTTCTATGAAAGTTGGCAGTTTGTTGTAGGGAAATAAGCTTTTCTCACTCCTTAGTCCCATTGTGATGATAGCAGGCTTGGTAAATCACCTATGAGGGGCCTCCTTGTAGGCTTTTAACTACTGGCTTGTGAACAAAACATTTGACTTGCAATTGGTTACAGAGAAGCAAACTTGTTAAATTTTAAAACTTACACTCTTGACCTTCTGGAGACCAGTAACAAAAAGTGACTTCACTTGGAAGGTAATTTTTAGTGTTATTCATAGGACCATGGCTAGGTCTTTTGTCTTTTCCCACATGCTGGACCCAGGGCATTCGCTCTCAGATCTAGGCACTCTAGTCCAAGTGGATTTAAGAAGTCTCCCTCCCTTGGCTTGCTTTCAGTCTCATGTTCTATTCTTCTCAGTTTTCCAACATCTTTTATTTTCTTCTCACCTTCTTTTTCTCCATCTATTGAGCTGCAGCAAGATAAAGCTGGGCCAGTTCCCCAACTCCTGACCCTATGGAGTTTCCAGGGCTACTAGACAATAGTTAACCTCCTTTATTGGTTAAAAGTTTTTTTTCTATTTTTATTTAAATTAGAATCAAGCTTGTTTTACATGTCAATCCCAGTTCCCTACCTCTCTCCTCCTCTCCTGCCCCCAACGAACCCCCTATCCCATCCCCTTTCTGCTCCCCATGGAGGGTGAGGCCTTCTATGGGGTATCTTAAAAGTCTGTCATCATTTGGAGCAGGACCTAGGCTCTCCCCACGTGTCTAGGCTGAGAGAGTATCCCTCTATGTGGAGTGGGCTCCGAAAGTCCATTCTTTTGCTAGGGATAAATACTGATCTACTGCCAGAGGCCCCATAGATTGCCAAGGCCTCCTCACTGACACCCACGATCAGAGAGTATGGGTCAGTCCTATGCTGGTTTCCCAGGTATCAGTCTGGGGTCCATGAGCTCCCCCTTGCTCAGGTCAGGTGTTTCTGTGGGTTTCTCCAGCCTGGTCTTGACCCCTTTGCTCATTACTCCTCCCTCTCTGTAACTGGCTTCCAGGAGTTCAGTTCAGTGTTTAGCTGTGGATGTCTGCCTCTGTTTCAATCAACTACTGGATGAAGGCTCTAGGATGGCATATAAGATAGAAAGCACTGCATCTGCCCGGAGTCCCAACTGCTCTTTGGCATCATCTGTTTGCAAAGTTAGAAGTTAGTATTTTCTGAGAGACAATCACACGGAGACACTTCTGCATATTCCTCACCCTCCTATTCCATTCCAACTCCAGGGAAGTATGAATGGCAGAAGGGGAATGAGCCCTGTCCCTTTCACTGGAGCAATGATATCCAACTTTTCCAATTACAGTCCCAAGTGCATCCTTTCAGTATTCTTCAAGCATTTGGATGGCATTTTTTGTTATCATTAAAATGCTAGGATTCCTTTTACTATCTGGTCCCTGCGATTTTCTTTTCATTTTTTATTATGATGCATGAGGAAGGCCTCAAAAGCCAGTAGCCTGTCTCATGTGGCTACTCTTCGCCCCTCCTACTCCTCTGTTTAAATGTTTCCACTACTCACTTTTCCCGCTTAGCTATTTATATTAAACTACAACATGCCCCCCAAATACAACAGTGTTTGTGCTACCTCCAAGGATCATGTACTGGCTCTTTTTGTGTGTCAACTTGACAGAAGTTAGAGTCATCAGAGGAAAGAGCTTCAGCTGAAGAAATTCCTCAATGAGATCCAAATTTTCTCATTTAGTGATCAATGGGGAAGTGGCCAGCCCATAGTGGGTGGTGTCATCCCTGGGTTGCTGATTCTAGGTGCCAAAAGAAGGTGGGATGAGTAAGCCATGAGGACCAAACCAGTAAGCAGCTCTTAACCATGGCCTCTGCATCAGCTCCCGCCTCTGAGATGCCCCTGTTTGAGTTCCTGCCATGACTTCCTTAAGTGATGAACAGCAATGTTGAAATAAATCCTCTCCTACCCAACTTGCTTTTTGTCGTGGTGTTTCATCTTAGCAATATAAACCCTAACAAAGACAAATTGGTACCAGGAATGGGGTATTGCTGTGACAGACCTGATCATGTTTTTTGGGAAGATTGTGGAAGGACTTTGGAACTTTAGGCTAGAAATGCCATTGTGTGTTGGGACCTCAGTGGGATGTTCTATAGGAACTTGGAAGATAAGAATATTGAAAGAAGTGCAGAGGATGGAAGCCTGGCTTGCACAAAGTCTCAGGGGAAAGTTTAGAGAATCAACCATGGCCATTTGTTATTTTGAATTAAGATTCTGTGGTTCTGGTTAGCTGGGACTGAAGAATCAGCTGTGATTAACAAGATACCAGAACTACTAAAGCAAAACTTTGCTGGGATACTTGATACTGGTCCACTGGAGATAAGAAACTAGTGGTGATTAAGAAGAGACCAACATCACTGAGGTAAAATCATCTGGGATTTGTTTCCTGATAGCACAGAGAAGTTGTTTTCCAGAGATGGTCAAGGTTGTACCTCAAGCTGGCAGCCAGACTTGGTAATGTGCAACAGTCACCCAGGTGGTACTGGTTTTGAAGGCATGCAGGGATCATGGTGAAAAACTGAGACTTGGCACTGTGAGAGGCTAGGAAAGGCCATTGGTGGCAGTTGAAGGTCTAAGTCCGAAGGGGCCATGCAGAGAAGTTGAGTGGTGGAACCATGAAGAGAACCTATGAGAGGCTATTGGTGAAAGTACAGCCCAGTTGCAGCAGAAGACACCAGCACTTTGGAGATTCAGGTACCATGGGATGACCACCATGAATAGCAGCAGCAGTTGAGTGGAGCCAGCTGGAGCATAAAAGACAAACTGCATGTGCTTCAGAGGGCAGGGCCAGAGAAGTCACCAAAGCCCTCTGCAGGAGTTCAGCAGATCACAAATGGAATCCAGATAATTGGACATCAACTTATTTATACTGTTGGAGTTTGGCTTGGCTTAGTTAAGATTATGACAGTTCCCTAGTTCTTCCCTCCTGAAAAGGGTATTTAATTTTGAGATTTTAAAAGGCTCCCACAGATGAAAGATTTGAATCTCTTTTAAGAGATTGGATATTTTAAAGCGACTGAAATATGTAAAGACTGTGGGACTTTCAAATTTATTTATGATTTTAATGGGGTCTTGGGGATGAATACGACAACAAGGGGTGTGGCTTAATGGTGATGTGTTTGTGTGCCAAGTTGACAAGGGGTCAGTTGTACTGGTTGATTTTGTGTGTCAATTTTATACAAGCTAGAGAGGAAGGAGCCTCAGTTGAAGAAATGCCTCGATGAGATCCAGCTGTAAGGCATTTTCTCATTTAGTGATCAGTGGGGAAGAACCCAGCACATGGTGGTTGGTGCCATCCCTGGACTTCTGGTCCTGGGTTCTATAAGAAGCTGGGTTGGGCAAGCAATGGGAAGCAAGTCGGTAAGCAACTCCCCTTCATGGTCTCTGCATCAGCTCCTGCTTCCAGGTTCTTGCCCTGTTTGAGGTCCTGTCCTGACTTCTTCAAGCATTGAACAGCAATGTTGAAATATAAACCAAATAAATTCTCTCCTCCCCAACTTGCTTTTTGGTCATGGTGTTTTGTAGCAGCAATAGAAACCCTAACAATGACAGATCACTTACCTAATTGTATGGAATATAGCCGTGATAATGAGCTCATTGTGAACTGCAACAGCCATGTATCGAGGCTCGTGAAATGCTGAAGGGACTGTTCGAACTGCATAGCAGAGATAAATGCCCCACAAGAGGAATAAAAATTCAGCTGTGAGAGGAACAAACAATTCCCCATTAGTTTCATAGGTTAAAAAAGTAGAAAATTTAACTTCTTTAAAATGTTTCATTACAGGTTCATAATCTTAGATGCTTGCAAATTTCCATTCACATAAAGATACAGATGCCATTTTCAAACTTTATTCAGTGTACATGTTTTCTGCCATTGTTTATAGTACAATGGATATTCTCATTGTTTTGCTAATATATAGCCTTCCCCCCCTAGAATGACTGTGAAATGATTTTCCTCTTTCTAAATCCAAGTTTATGGTGTTCACAGGAGTCTGGGTCCTAGCAAAGTATCAAGACAAGAAGCCTACACAGCTTCTGGAAATGGAATTTCCTGCTCCACCAAGCCCAATTCAGAGAGTAAAAATAGCCACTGTCAGAGCTGTGGGAGCACAGGTTGCTAAACACTCAGTGGCATATTTTCCAAATGAAAAGTTGTTTCTTCACACATGACAGAAATCCTGTCCTTTGTGGGTGGAGTATGGAAAGCACCATAAAATCTGTAATCACCTTGTTGGATCTTTGTTGCCAGCAGGGGCAGGCACAATGTATCAGATAAGAGTGCCTAAGTCTGAGCCCGGCTCTCCCTAACTTGGCATAACCACAGTTAAATGCTATGAAGATGCAGGTTCTTCATCTGGAAAACAAGACTCATGGAACTGCACACTTGGGGGATTATTTGCTAACTAGATGAGCTAGCATACACAAAGCACTTAACATGGTTTTTGATTCAACTCAACTTTTTCTCCATACTTCATACTCATTTGTCAGTTTTTCAAACCAATCATTGCTCCTTTTAGTTGTTTTGATACCAGGTCTTGCTCCAGCCCAAATCGCCGGAATTCAGCAATTACAGACAGGTGACACCATGGCCTGTTTGAGCACTGCAATTTGAAGCCACTTTGACTTCATCTCTCTTAGTAACATGACCTTACTAGAAAATAGCATCTAACTGCTAAGAGGGATCGCTCTCACGTGGAGACACCCTGCATGCTAGGTCACCCAGATGTGACCTTGCACCTGAAACGCTGGTCTCTATTCAAAGCAATGACTGTCCATCCCCATGCCAAGCTGTTCTCTCTGCCAGCACTTCAGCTTATTTCTAGCAGAATCTAAACATTAAACAGCTCTCCAATTACTGGAAATCCTTTAAATAAACCAATCTGCCAGGAGATGTGCTTAAAACCCTGACATGGACGAAAGCCAAAGAAAGAAAATAAGCTTCACTTCAAACCCTCAGCGAGATTTAAGGTAAATCCGAATTATTCAGCTTGATGGCTGCTGGCTGGCTATGTGTGTGAACACCATCCCCGCCATCAGCAGGTGTAGAGCCGGAAATAACACCATCTTCATAGCACCACATAACCTTTGTCACTGAGTTTGAAAGCTCAGAGTTCATTACAGTCTACATATTAAGCATTCACATGTATTCAAGGCTCTCAATGCTCACTGCCAGAGCCTCTATTGTCTCTATCGCTGCCTGCTTGTTGAATCTACACAGTGTAAATTCTTTCACCATATTACAAGGACAGGCAAGCTATTTTAAAATGCCATTTTAATCAAACCAGAATTTGCCTAAGTCTCTGCCAATGATTTTGGGTTAACCTATTCACATCTCTCCTGAAAAATTTCTTCAAGTCTTTGAAACACCAGAAATGATTCCTGTCCCCAAGAGGAGATTTCCAGGTCCTCCTGCAGGGCAAACATATTCTTCATTTTAAGATGTTTTTGCTGCCCACTTTCATGTTCAGTACCCACACTGCTTCATGTTCTTTTTTGTCTATTTACATCTTAGGCTAACTTCTTTATTGTCTGGTCTCTGAACAGCCACACATTTGATAGGCATCCATCACATCTCCATTCAGAAACTTTGAGTGGTTCACTATTATTGTCTTTATTCTTCATCCTGGCACTTATCACTTTCCGTAACATGACACCCAGTGTCCTTCCCACCATGCTCCCAACATAAGCCCTCTGAGCTCACCCACTGTCCCTTTGTCCTCTGAACACTACAGAGATTGATCCTCAGACTGGCAAGATGGCTTGTTGGGTAAAGGTGTATGCCACAAAGCCTGGCTATGTGTGTTCAATCCCTGTAACCCACAAGGTGGAAGGAAAGAACTGAAGCCTGCATCTTGCCTTCTGATCCCCACACCTGTGCAGTGGTGGGCACATATTAGCCAGTGATAAAAAAGATCTCCTTCTGAGTCCTCATTTGCATTATTAATCCCACTGAAAATTTCCCCTTCTCCACATTCCAACTCTTCTTTCTCTTATTTTGTAAATGTTAAATTTAATATTTTTTGAGAATTTCTATAAGGCTACACTGTATTTACATCATGTCTTCTGATTCATCCCATGTCCTCTCTCTCTCTCAAAATCATGACATTTCCTTTTATAATTTTTGTTTTGCATATATGTAAGTACATGCACATTGTATGCAACACACACACACACACACACACACACACACACACACACACACACACACACGCATGCACAACTTACTGAGCCCAATTAGTGCTGCCCATGTGTAGAGATGTGTTTAGGGCTGACTACTAAGGATTGGGCAACCTAGCAGGAGTTTCATCCTTGAAAGAAGCTGATTCTCCCTCTCTCAAAAGTCACAGACTATAGCTCTTCTTCTATGTGTAGGGTCTTGGGAAGTTAGTTCCTATCCATGTTGGCATATCCATTGGTCTGGTCTTGTGGCAGCAACCGTATTGCTGAGCATTCATGAGTGCAAAATCAGATATTCTTTCATACCAGTCACATTGGTCCTCCATCCCCTACCATCTTTCTGCCTACTTTCCCACGATGTCCCCTGGAAACTTTGGTGTAGGGGTAGTGCTACTAATACCTCACTTGTGGATGGATGTGACACAGTCACCTACTCACCCACTTAAAAATTCTTAAATAGTTTTAAAATGTCCAGTTCAAGTTCTGCCCCTATCACTAAGCCTCATGAAATTACACTAAATTTTCTTTCCATTAATACTTTATAATTTTAATATGGAGAATCATGTCACACAATTCATAACTGGGACATGTTCATGTCCCATCCCTATCCCCACTCGGGTTCTGGGGAACTGAAACCCCACATGTGCCCTGAAAGCACTCTCCCTTGGAGCCACATCTCCAATGTCTTCTTACTTTCTCTATTTTGATACAAAGTCTCACTAAAGCAGCCATGCTAGCTTTGATTTCCTTTGTAACCTAGGCATGCTTTAAATTTGCAATCCTCTTGCCCCAAAGTCCTAAGCAGCTGGAGGTTCAGGGGGACACCACCAGGCACAGCCAAGGCCTTAGTCTTCCTAGGCTGACTGTTCACCCCTGCCCTTCTTTTTTTTTTTATTTTTATCAAATTATAATTTCACATGTCAATCCCTTCTCCCTCTCTCCCCCCACTAACCCCCTCCCCCTTCCAGCTCCGCTCCCCATAGAGGGTAGGGCCCTCCACAGGGGCTCCCCAAATTCTACAACATCATCCTGGGCCAGGCCTAGGCCCTCCCTCATGTGTCCAGGCCTAGAGAGCATCCCTTCACGTGGAATGGGCTCTCAAATTCCCTTCTTATACCAGGGAAAAATACTGATCCACTGCCAGAGGCCCCATAGGGTGCCGAGGCCTCCTCCTTGACATCCACTTTCAGGGGTCTGGATCAGTCCAGTGATGGCCTCCCAGACAGCAGACTGGGGGCCATGTACTCTCCCTTGTTTAGGTCAGCTGTTTCTGTGGGATTCACCAGCCTGGTACTGACCCCCTTGATCTTCATTCCTCCCTCGCTACAACTGGGTTCCAGAGTTCAGTTCAGTGTATAGCTGTGGGTGTCTGCCTCTGCTTCCATCAGCCACTGGATGAGGGCTCTAGGATGGCATATAAAGTAGTCATCAGTCTCAATATAGGGGAAGGGCATTTAGGTTAGCCTCTCTGCCATTGCCTAGATCGTCAGTTGGTGTCATCCTTGTAGATCTCTGGAAATCTCCCTAGTGCTAGATCTCTTCTCAGATCTATAATGGCACCCCTGCCCTTCTTTAAGTGATAGCAGCAGCACTGAGCCCACACACATGAGATTCAGTAGTATTTGTTGAACTGCATGACTTCAATGCTATCAGCTTCATTAGAGATGCAATGTTCTGTTACCTGCCACTCCATCTAACACTGCTGGTTCTGCTGAAGCAAATAGGCAGGAGGTCTAGGCTGGAGCCCCTGCTGCACCGTTTGTTCTGTTTGCTTACACACCCTATCAGAAGTAAACAGAAACTTAGAAGCACTCTTCCAACTGATTAATTTACAATCTAGTTTCATCTGACCAACTAGGTGATTGGACTGTGCCATGGGCCCTCCCTCTGGACACTCTGAAAATAAGGCAGGCATCTAGTATAGCCAGGGAAGAGTGTTTTGTTTTTGTTTTTGGTTTTTTTCCTCCTGCTCCCCATTTTCCTCCTCCTCTTCTTCCTCCTCTTTGTCTGCCCATAAAACTTCTGTGCTGATTCCTCTAGGGAAGCCCATAACCTCCTTTCTTGCTGATGCTTCCTGATCCTCGAACCTTCTATGCTAAGACAATCTCTGTTGAATTCGATTTTGCCTCATTTTTTTTAACAGGCCTGTAAATGATCTAGAAACTAGTTTAGCATTGCTATTAACAGTGGCGACTTCTACTTATCAACACATGCAACATGTGTACTAGGGTTTGGAACAAAAGAGTGTGAGATGCCTAAATACTGAACAACTGCAACACACGGAAAATACTCTGCTGCAGTTGAAGCATTCGCATGTCTGATAAAAGTAGCATTTGCTGCCACTCACTGCAATGTTTTCATGTATCCCCATAATGAGGATTTTAAAGGTAGTCATTGGTTTAATTAGGATGCCACATGGAGAATTACATTTAAAAACATAAGACAACATAAGATTTCTCATAATAGCTGAACTAAACATTAAAATCATTTCATTAGCAGTATCAAACAATACACTCTCGCTTA